GCCTCTGAAAATTCCTATGTCTTGAACAGAGCAACCTAGATGTGTCAGTTTTATATATACATGGAAAGAGATCAATTTACTCTATGAAATAATTATAGTACAAGTCAAAAACAAACGAAATATACCATTGTAATCTCATGTTCGAAATGTCCATCAATGATTCACATGATTGATCAATTATTGGTCCAATGATTACGTTTTTTTTTCGTACTATGTATTCTAACTGAGAAAAATTTTCTAATCTTTACCCTACTCTACCTCACAGGGGAGAAGAGACAGGGTAGAGTAACTCTGCACATCTTCACTAGTGATACATCAATGCTTTTCTTAACGATATTTTTAAAATGTATTGAAAAACTAAATATTAAAATAAAAAGACTTTAAATGTATTACCATCTTCAGGATTCATTGCTGTGCATTCTTCTAATTTTGGATCATATAATGTTTCTTGTACGACACCTTTCAAATAACATTCATCATGACATATATGTATATATTCAATTTTTTTCTCATCATCCACATCAATAATTCGACAACAATTTTCACCTACACACACCGTTCGTGGATGTCTCAATTGGATAACTTTAGCATTATTCTGTGGTATTCCTTCTAATGCAATTTCAGGATTATTGAGTACTTTATTTTTATGTTCTTGAGCAAGTTGAATATTTTCTTCAATAAGTTTTGCTGTTTCAGCAATTGGACGTGGAAGTTTTCGAATAAGTTGTTCAGCTTCATTCAATGAAATTGTATTAGATATGGCATGAAGTGGACGTGTAACCATATGTGACATAAGACGACTATATTCTGTGACAGAATGATCCCAACTTCTAATATAACTTTGTGTTTGTTGATCATCCAATCGGATACCATTCTTACGTATTGCTAGATAACGAAATGGTTCGTTATCAAATAAAAATGTATTCTCCCTTGAAAATGGTATTATAACACCATGTTCATCTTGATGTTTTTTCAACATACTTTCAACAAGTTTTTTTGTATTACCTGGTGCAAAGAAAGTTGCTCGTGCATTTGTAAAGATAAAAATTAAATTTTCCCTTGCATTGACATGTAAATGTCGAAGAAGTTCATTGACACAAAATCGAAAAAGTATAGTTAAACGTTCTTCATTTGGTTTAAGCAATATACATACACCATTCAAATGTTCATATTGAGCAATATAAGATAATATTTCGTGAAAATTTTTTTTATCTTGTTCAATTCCTCTAGTATCACCAATGCCTGGTGTATCAATCATACGTAGATTTCGATCACCAATTGGAAAAACAAAACTTCGACATTGTTGCGTACTTGATTCACCATTATCACTAAAGTTTTCATTCTCGTCATTCTCACCAATATTGATTGATTTCTCGTCAAAAGAATCTGGTAGAGTAAAAGAAAATGAAGAAGGAATAACGGCTTGAATTTCATCTTCGACTGCATCTTCAAGAGTATCATTAACAATATAGTTAGCAAAAGCATTTATAAATGTTGTTTTTCCAACTCCTGTTGGTCCTAATAATAGTATGTTTATTTCTCGATCTCGAGGGCAATATGGATTTGGTTTCAAAACAGATTCTTCATCTATTGGATAGTTTTTTGCCATTTTGATAGTTGATCGTTTATTTTAAAAATACTAAAATGATAGAATTATGGTGCAGAATATTTTTTGAAATATCACACGAAAGATAAAAGCGTATCAAATAAGATAATTTGTTTTTTTTCGCTTCAAGACATGTGTTCATGATAACATGCATAAATTCTGTGTCAGAAAACTGACAATATTTTGTTGATCTCGAGTTCTATTTTTCACAGCCTACGCAAAGGTAAATGACGGAAGAAAGAGAACTGACAGAAATAATACAGCATTAGCCTACTCTCAATTCTCTCTTTCATTTTCTTTAAAATTGATGTCGAAATATTTTCATTTAATCTAACTATTGACAAAGATACGATTCGAATGGTGTACTCATTTGGAAAAAAACCAGCTCTAGAGTTTCCATAAAGACAATAATAAAACTCTTGTTTTTCTTCTGATAAAGAAAAACAATTTCGAATTTTTTTTGTCTACAGCTTCTTTCAGTTACCTGCTCGTGACTTATTTTGTTCCAATAAAGTATGAGAAAAAAAAAATATTCGAAAGTAATGATTATTGACACACTTCAGATATGACAAAGAAAAGTAAAATTTAGAGACATACCAGAAAAAAAAATCATGCGACAATCGGCATTATTTTGATGACGTTTTCACCATTCTGAAAATATAAGAAAAGAAAGAAGAAACAATGCTTTTTTTCCAACTTACATTTTAAGGTGTTATAAACAATAAATTTATGCAGGTATTATATTGAAACAATAATGTGTCTCAAACATAGTGTTAGTCCATTTTTTTCAGTAAGACAGACTTATTAAAGAGTGTAAAGAAGAAAATTGCCGACTTTGAATAGATTGTATCATGCCTTGTGGTTCAATTGAGGAAGAGACAAAGATGAAGATATTGAGCTATTTTTTAATATGTGAAAAGTAGAGAATAATAAATCAAGAACGAGGATTAATAGAAGAAAGAGATGGATAAGAATAATAACCCTCAGGATCAAAGGAACGATCAATATATGGGTGTGCCCATGGGAAGTCGCCAATCAATCCGGCGATCTCGTTCAAATCTAATGAGACTTTCAGGATTTGTAGAGCTTTTTACGCTGATCATTTTGATGATAAAAATTTTTCAATTTGATAGTATTCTCGTTGAGATATAGGCGAAATATTTTTACCGCATTTTTGTCGTTTTTGCATTTTTTTGCAAAAACTAAAGTCGGAGTAGTATCGAAAAATTGATGATATGAGGTGTGGGTTGTGGTTGTGAGTGTGTGAGTGTTAGTATTATCATTCACACCCACATCCACACCCTATCTATTTATTTTTGTTTTTTTTTCAATATGAAATGCGAATAAATTATATTCTATATACAAGTACATTTCTTCATTGGTCTTTTATGAATAAAGTCAAAATTATAGGAAAATACAATAAAAAATTTATTTTTTGTGTTTTTATATTCACTAGAAAATGATAAATGACAATGATAAAGCATAGAGAATATTTTTAATAGAACACAACTGATAGATATAAATCAAGATTTTTCTTGAGTGAATACCTGAAATTTTCAAATAAAAATAAAAACAAAGAATAATTTTTTTCTACAAAAGTAATCACTAACGTTAGAGTATGCCAAAGATAATGACAGTAGCATTACACTATATTATAGAACAATTTGAGGAAGTTCTCTTTCTCTATATATACTGATACTCCAAAAAAAGTCCTCTAGTTCTATAGTATTTCACCATTCTTTATTTGTTATGATAATATTAGATTTTCGATCATAGCTGTTCACCGATGATTTTGTTGCGTACGGAAAATTTTTGCTTCTGCATTTATGTTCATTCTGTACTATATTTTATTTTCGGTGGTCAGGCTCCACTTCTCAGAACACCTGAAAAATCATACGAGTAGTTTCGTGAAGGTCGAGAAGATGTTGAAGATGGAGTACGATTCGGCGTACTGTCAAAGAACAATATCCATCCATTGCTTTAGTAATGATGATTCTCACAGTACAACTGACGAATTGCAAGCACAAACTAATCCGAATTGTGGCGGTATAACAACAAATAATCCTCAATCATCGTAAACTTAAAAAGATTACAGTTAGTTATATATCGTAACAGTTGATCTTGAAGGAGTGGGCTGTGGATGTGGGTACTACTCTTATATCTATCACACCCACACCCACATTCACATCCTCAGTTCGAGTTCGGTTCGTTTTCGGTCTCTGATGTCAAAAACATTGTGTTACCATAGCCGTATCTTTGAATAGCGACAATGAAAAGATCTGAAATTTTCACGATACACTAGTTTCAATAAGATCTATTTCTGTGCAAGATTTCAAATCGAAATTCAAAAATGAGTTTTTCTGGTGTTTTTCGAGGGGACCACAGCATTGAGCTAACAAACATGGTAAAAATCCAATATCTACACAGCAACAAGCTATCAGCCTGAACTCTTTTCACAGTCTTCATAGCTTGCTATGACATATATGATGCACACGATTTCAACTTAAAAGTGATAGATCATCTGGAGACTTTCCTTCATAAATGATATCGCCCCCCTATCATTATCTGCATGGAATGTTTCCTTTCGTTTCACTCTATCAACATCCATCTCGTATTGATCACGTATCAGTCAGTGTTATTGATTCATATGTAATACAGACATTACCATTTAGGATATCAAATTTAATTATTTCTTACTCTCGATCTTGTTTTTACGAAGAGAATATTTTTGGTTAATGCAACGACAAATCGGATAGAGTAGCTTATCTCTACCCTCGGTAATGATGTTTATTTAGCTACTTCACATACAACAAACGCTTGTATTGGAAAGAGCAAGAGAGAGAGATATGAGCACAGGAGAGAACAATAGAGACAAGATAAAAAGGAAAGAGGAAGAGAAGATCAGCGAGAAGTGATATCAATATTGGCACAGTTAAGTCTTAAGCATGGATTCCCGTTCGATCATTGTATTATCCGTTGGAATTCCGTCGTCTTTCTGTGCTAATGTTCGTTTCATAGTTTCCTATAGGAAAATCAAGTAATGAACGTAATGAATTAACAACTCGTTAATATAATGATACTCACTTTTCTTGATGAACAAAATGAGAATATCTCATCTCGAGATATTATCAATGATTTATCTACCATTTTTGAATCCTTTGAATCTATATCGAAAAAAAAAATAAATGAATTTGTAAGCCAATCATTTCTCTCCTCCGAAAATCGATTTATTTTACCAAAGATAAAGCTAAAGACCACTCCAAGAAGCAGAGTGATAATGGTACCATTAAAAACAAACCACGTAGGAGCTATTGAGTAGAGTGATATCAGTGGATTGTAGCTATTAATTGAAGGGAAATATGAGTTGGTCTCTTTTTACTTGTGCCAAACGGCATTACTTTTGATTTTTTGACATCGGTACACTGATATTCACTGATGGCACACAACCAACAACTGAAGTCGGCAATCGTCCGCCTTGTTTATTAGGTGGTTTTACAGTGAGAGTACTTCCAACAAGGATCCACATTTGAAATACCAGGCAGAGTATAAAGGCCATAAGAACACTCTATGGAATGAACAAACCAAATCATATATAGAATCTATTCAATAAATGTAATTGATATATTCACTCGACTTTGAACACGTGCTGTAAAGAATCCAAGTAAATAGATCCCAAGGATGGGAGCTGTAAAGACGCCGAAGATCTGTAAAATTATCTAGACGAAAGAAATAAAAGAAAACAGTTGGACACGTAAGAGAACAATAGAATGAAACTAACTGTAATGATGTTGGTTTTCATATAAGACATCATGAATGCAAGAAATATAATGAAAAGACCGAATGCGACGGCTGCAATCCATAAGTAAAAAAATTATGACAAGACAGAGAATGATACTTACACAGAAGCTTAGATACCGTCGCTTGGCGTTCATTTGACATTGGGCGTGCGAATGACATTCGTTTATAGATATCTTCGACAATGACTGCTGCTATACTATTGACTGCACTTGAAATTGTACTTAACGATGCGCTCAAAATACAAGCTATGAAAAGACCAGTGAAACCAGGAAATCGTCCCAATATTTGTATAACAAACAAAGGATACAACTGTGTCAAGAAAAAAAAAGACACATTATATTCAAACTTCTATACATTGATCGTCGTACTTGATCTGATCTCGAAATCAATTTAGCATTAAGTGGATCGCATTGACTATACTTTGCATAGATAAGACATCCAATGCATGCCAAGAGAATTTGCATCACTACAGTCATCGCATAATTGATCCAAGCAACTCTATGTAAACGAAATTGACAATTCGTAAATTTAATTCCAAAATACCTTTATGCTGCCTTTGTATCTTTGACACACATGTATCTTTGTGCTTGAGTCTGTGTGCATGCATACACGGCTACGTCAAAGAATGTGAGACCAATAAACAGACTCCACAGAGTATAACGAACAGATGGATCTGGAGTGATACTGAAAGATAAAGAAGATTAAAAATAGCTAAACGACTTGAGCATATAAGAGCCGTTCTGAGACCATCTTCAGTTTCTCTCTGCTTAGGACTTACTTTATGAACGATTTCACAAGGAATCTTCTGGTAAACAAAATAAACCTATTTCTGAAAGATCTAGACTCATTTTGGTCCAAAATACTGATAGTTTCGATACAAAAAATATTTCGAACCGGAAAATGTGTGAATCAACTACTTATTCGATAGTCTATCTCTGGTGAAAATTGCAGCTCGAATGCTCGAAGTGTTTCTGAGTAACGATATAAATATTGTTTCAAATAAGTATGAAAACTACGGGGTGGAACATTATATGCAACGAGACTTAATTAAAGTCATTTATTAATTGACTCAACTTAATACTTAATATTAAATGTTAAGTAACAACTTTAAACTTTATTTTAAATTAAGATAAATGGTCCACTCCTAATGAACAATATCTCGAGATAGGAAAACAAAATGGGTTCTCATTGATTCGGAAAGCTCGAAAAAAAGGACTACAAAGTTATATACCTTTCAATTTGTTGTAGAAGTGATCCTCGTTGAAAAAGATAATCTGACTTTTGTTTACAAACCATTTCTTGTAGTTTTTGAACAGTATTCAGTAGATTTTGATAGGAAAAAGTACAATTTCAGTCAAAAGTAATAATATATTTCGAACCAGCACGAAACATAGATTCAAATTTTCTGAATTTCATAGTTTTTCGTCGAACTTTTTTCTTCTGAAAAAATTCAGGAGAGCTTCTCACAACGTCCAACTAAAAAATGAGTTTAATTAGAAAACTGTTTGAACAGCGGAAAACGATTTCAGAACTTGTAAAACATTATTAGAAGACAAAGAACAGACAACTAAAAAATAAGAATAGTGTTTTGCTTAAACCCACTTATTAGCTGGAGGTTGAGGACGCTTCCGTTGAATTTTTCCAGAAGAGATAAGTACGATCTGGAACTTTCAGAAATAGGTTTATTTTGATTATCAAAGAGTTTCTTGTGAATTCTTCATAAGATAAGTCGTAAACGAAGAAAAACTGAAGATAACCTCAAAATGACTCTTTTCTGCCCTTATCCCTCATTTTCACAGTTTTCATCGAAACTCTTCCATTGTAATAGTCATTGTTCAAATTTTCTTCTACGGTACTGTATATAGAAAACTTAAACGATTTTTGTATTGTATAAGGTGTCGATATGCATTCGTATCATTTTCATGATTTTTCAATGGAGATAGGGATGACTTTCAGCATGAGATAATGACGCGTTACTTAACTTGATTACTCATCATAATTACGAGAAAGATCCTGGAGAGTGGAAAATTTTTTTGATAATCGTTATCTTTTTCAATCTTCCATTCTATTGTATTAGCTCGTATACGTACACCCAGAATTGAAATCGATTTCCGCTAGATACTGTTTCAACTGCTTTTACGATTCCACCAGCATCGATGAAGCCTATATAATTATGAAAGATGAAAATTGCTATTTGAACCAACAAAATAATCGATACATACCAAAAACAATCGGCACAATAATGCCAAGAAACATCGTGACAGCTTGTATAACATCAGTCCAAATCACCGCTTTAATTCCACCCTACCATTTATTTGAAGATGAAACATCGAATCATTAAAACAAATTCAAGATTCCTTCATTTCAAAGTTCATGACGTGCACTTACGATGCTCGTATAAATTGTGCAAACCAATCCGCACGAAGCAACTGTAAACCAAATGTTTATCCCAGTCACTTGACTCAATGCCAAGCTCGGCCCATAGAGAATAACACCCATATTTAAAATCTTGACACATGATCTACTGATTTTCAAGTGCGAAATCACTTTTATTCTACTTACAGTGCCAATAATAAAAGTACATGTCACCATAATACGAACTGATAGTGAGAAGCGTCGCTCAAGATACTATTATTGACGAAAAGTTTGTTTGAGAATTTTGGAAGTTATGTCTAGATTAGTGGCAGAACCAGGATTTCGCTAGTGAGAGAGAAGCTGTGTCCTCTAGTGGAGAACTTCAGTCCCATCACCGCGGATGGTCCTACCACTAGTCTAAATACGTACAGCATAAATACTGACGTTGTCAATCTGACGAAATTTAGGTATAAACACTTTCGTCGTTATATAGGTTGCCATAAGTGCAGCGAATACTTAAGAAAAAAAATGAACATGAACATAGAGTGCGAGATAAGTTTTGAATAGCATTTTGAAGCGATACATGTTTTTACATGTAGACAAATATTTTGCTACATACTGCTATACAATATCATGGTTCCGTATAGATAGTACTCCACAGGTATTCCAAGTAAACTGACCGCAGACCTGACACCCGCCAGCAAGCTTATTGCTGTTGGCAATACCTATAAGAGCAAATGGTAAGAATTTCATATATGTATGTGTTTTTTTCTTAAAATTGTGTTACCGTCATTCGACCATCGGCCACGAGAAATTCTCTTCCTGACAATTGTTTCGAACGAATACAACCTTGATAGATACCTATGCCGGCCGAAAAACCTGTAAATGTTAAATAAACAGTTGTCTATGTCGAGAACATTTGTCTATAGTTAGGCTTACTCAAAAGTAGAACTAAAACTCCATAGTCGATCCAGCCGAGATACATCTGAAAGTATTGATCATATGCACAATATCTCCAATTAGAATATGATGCGAAACAGCCTCCTCCAGTTAATGTCAACATGTGATGTAATTTAATTTAGAGAGAGCAATCATAAATAGAGATGGACCATTTATCTTAATTTAAAATTAATATTAAGTGTTAAATGATTGGATTAGGCAAATCTCATTCGTTTTCGACTGTTTCATTACTACTGTAGGAACGTAGCATGATATTCTTCGGGCAATATGAAAGAGAACCCCGTATAATCCTAGGATTGGTCTGGAAAATACTATGTTTTGTCTTTACAATATAAGAGAAGGACCACCCTGAAATCTGATCGGTTGATATCTAGTTTCTATCGACAAATCAGATTTTAGGAGGACTTATTCTCCTCTTTTGTAAAGACAAAGCAAAGCCATGTCCGAGTCAATCTTAGAGTTATCCGCAATTCTCTTCCATATGGCTCGAAAAATATCATGCTGCGTTTCTACAGCAATAATGAAACGCTCGAATATAAATGAGATTTACCTAACTCAATCGCTTAACACTTAATTTTAACTGTACTAAGTATTAAGTTGAGTCACCTAATAAATTACTTTAATTAAGTCCCATTAAATAAAATGTCCGATCCCTAATCATAATTGATAATATTGTACATTGGCAATTAGTTCAGAATCGAATGTCATTGAACCGTTGGCTAAACTTAAGTGAGTTCGACACTGCATCAGCTCAAAATCTCCAAAAAGCATTTATATTTCAACCATATTTTAAAGTTATCTCTGAGTTAATGCAAGTCGAACTTACAAAATCGCGGCTGACTGTTGACAGAAGCTTCTCCTAGCTTTTTTACGAGATAAAAAGAAATGGTGGAATAGCAAAAGCCAATAAAGATACTCGACACTATCGCTATCACACCATCTCTATATAGTATGCGCAAACTTGCTGCCAGTAAAATAAGAGGTGATACGGCAACTTCGAATCTCACATAGGGTTTCAAAGTGCTTGTTAGCTCTCTCGACTGTAGGGAAGGTGATATTAAATAAAATGAGTTTGTGTATATGTTTGTATCATTACTTGCACGTGTATAGTCAAGTGTGTACTTATATTAGTATAATTTATAAGGTTTGGTCGAAGGTAATCGGGATCGCAGAATTCAGATCTCCACTTAGTTTTTCAAAACTTGCTGCTGAATTTCTTCAGTGTGGAAAGCATTTTTTTGGGAAAAATAACGATTTTTGATATAGTGGCGGAAGAAAGATATTCGAGTTCTGGGAATCGAAATCTTTAGTCGATTTCTAGAAGTCTTCATTTGGAATTTTATTGACGGAGAAAAGGTTTTAGGAAAATAATGATTTCTCGCTGGGTTGAACATAGGGTTGTCTGAAATAATATGGTTTCCAGTATGGCGATCATGTAGAGGGTAACATGTTCAGATGTGTTAGCGTAGTTACAGATTCGATAATCTCAGTAACATCAATTACATATGAGATTTTTTCAGGCCACGATTTTGAGCCAATCAACTGGTTTTATTGTTCGGCTACGGGTCTGTCAAGCTTTATTCGGCTAGCAGTTCGTTTAATATGTTGCCGGTTTGGATGTAGGTATGGGTATTTCCATCATTCACACTCATAACCACATGTTCTACAAACAGAGACCAAGTAAAGAAATTTAGAATCCAAAACAACACTTTGAGCTTCAGAATTGCGCAATGCTTATTGTGTATGATGAAATTCGATATTTTACAACAGGTGTACTAATTGCACAATCTCTACTCATTACAACTTATATACGTGGTAAATTATGAAAGAGAACGGCGAGCCACGATCGATGGCTAACAAGTGAATATTATGAGACTAAAGCTTAATATTGGGTTCTTTGGGACCACGGCTATCGATCAATCTGATACTCACCTTGCTTTTTTTTTGCTTCGAAATTTTTTGATGGAAGTAGTATTGAAACATGCGAAGTATCGTATGATGAAGTTTTCCATTATTAAATATTTTATTTCTTCGCTGTGGCTTGTAGTTGTAATCCTTCTCACGCTTCATTGTCATCATAACAGGGTCGAGTCGCGTCTTATAGCGGAGAGGGAAAATTAGGAAACTACGGGACCACGTTTTTTTGCTCCCGATCCCGATCCTGTGTTTGTTATGGCGAACATAAAAAAATTTTTTACGAAACCTATTTCAGTGTGACACATAAGTGTACGTCGTGTCATGCGTACATATCTAGTTCTGTTCTTAGAAATCGTCTAAATAGTCTATTATCTGTCCATATGTGAATATTATAAATGTGATAATGCTAACAAATATTTCGAAACATCACTTGTTGTTTTTTTTTGAAACAAATAAAAAAATTATTGATCATCATTTGACTTTAAGAGACAATTGAGTTCTACTTTTTATTCAGAATAATTTTTCGAGACCAACTAAAAAATAGTTTTAGTCCCGATCCCGATCCCGTAAAAAAATAATTTTTGATCCCAAAATTGGTCCCGCGAGACCCGGACTGGGATCGAGACCAGTTTGCAGTTCCCTAGGAAAGATCAATACTGATGCTGGTGGATTGGAAGCGTTATTGAAACTTACCAAAACCAATAAAAATGCCTCACACATTGGTGTTCGCGTAAATCGTAGCGCCTAAGCCTTGTTGGAAGTAGAATCAATGAATCCTTCGGTGTTTACTAGGGTGTGGGTATTCTCTTTATTTCCACTCACACACCCACCCACCGACACCCACACCCACACCCACCCACCCTTTACGTGATGCACTCATATATATAGGGTAGAGAAAATCTCAAAAAGATCCAGAAAAGATCTTTTTAAAATATGTTACTCCTACCTGTTTTTTGAGTCGAATGAACTCAAACACGTGCTACACTCATATATATATGGTAGATAGAGTCTCAAAAAGACTGAAAAAAGATCTTTCTAATACATGTTACTCCTACATGTGCTATTACTCGAATGAATTCTAATGTGTCGTGCACTAATATATAGATAGGGTGAACTTATGTCCCAAAAAGAATGGATAAATCCGATTGTAATCGGATTACCAATACTCAAAAATCGAGGATGGGTGTGGGATGGATGTATGAGGGTGGGTGTGAGTGTCGCTGTAGATGAAGAGGAGACCCACATCCATACCCTTCTCGACTTTGTTGAAGAACTATTGTTACCTAGTGGCATGTATAAGGTGTCACGAGCACATGCTGCTTATATTCGATACCTTAGGATATTTTATCTGATTAGCGTATACAATCGCCGTATTGCTACGCTGGTCGTTAACGGCGGTATTTTACGGTCATTGTTTACAATGGCCATAATATGACGTAAATCATCGTTAACGGCGACTTTTACAGCCATCGTTTACGATTGCAGTATATGGCTAACAAAAACAGCTGCAGTTATCCGCCGTAATTAGTTGGTATACGGCCATGTACGACTGAGCATGATTGACCTGGGTCGAAAAAGAAAAATAAGACTGAAAATTCAACAAAACATATACACATGGAAACAAAAAAAGTGTAATGAACAAAGCAACAACACTTAACACGTAATAGAAAAACATATCGTTTTTATTGTTAATAACATTATGTATTTCTATTTGATTAAAAAAGAAATTTTGAACTATTATTGTTTACAAAGTAATAATTGAATCAATTGTTGATTTGATCTTAATTACACATCTTTGCATAGTGAATAGATAAATTATATTTGTACAAAATCCATGTTTACAAAAATATGTATGATGCATTTTCTCTTCGCTTCACCTCATAATACTTCCAACAATACTTTTTAAAAACAATAATTTATTTTTCCTCCAATTTCAGTGATGAAATTATCAATAACACAATATTCCGTAACATACTTCGTTTTTACCCCACTTCTATTTTCAGTAACGTTTTACTGAGCACGACGGTTTCTTTCTATTTCACTATGAGTGATCCACTTTTAACAAGTACTTTTGATAAACGGAGTCATTCATTTGTAATCATCAAGGTTCATAAAAATTCTGAAGAAATATTAATGCGCACGATGGTTGATACACACAGCACGAAAGGTCATAACTTTTTGCCTAATACTTGATTAAGTAAGACCATCACTTTTTATTCCACTTCGAGTCATAAAATTATAAAAAGTGCCAGACTAAGTCGAATAATTTATTTTTGATCGACAAGGCAGAAGATACTCTGAATAAAACTTCGAAGCAGGCCATGACTAATCTCACTTCATTTTGCTTCATACTATTCCAAATAATGCTTAATTGAACACGATGTTCACTTTTCATTCCCCTACAGGTGCTAATATTCTAAAAGATACATAAATTAGTGGCACAATTCGTTTTTTAATTCACATCCATGAAGAAATTGCGAATAAAACCTACCAAGCATGATGATTCCTTTTTCATTCACCTTGGGTCATTATATTCTCAAAAAAAATGTGACGGAGTGCGATTCTTTATTAATCCATTTGGTGCTCTAAATTTAAAATAACTGTTTTATGGTAAAAATAAATCA